GGCAGGTATGTCTGACTCATAGAATTTTTATCTGTGTTGTTTATCTTTTATGGTATATGTGTGCTTAGGAGAAAATATATTTAGTACTATATAAACTATAAAAAAAGAATTTTATTGTCCTTATTTTGCTCTCACTTGATCAGTTGGGGGTGGCATATTTTTTGTCTCTGCAATTAACTTAGTGTTTGAATTTAATCTTATTAATTCAGTCTACAATAATTTCATCTGATGAAATTTTGTCCCCTCACAATCAACTACTGTGATCTTTTATGATGCACTAGCATCCTTCCTGCCTTCCTCTCTTTTGCTCCTTTCTTTCTTTCCTTCCCTCCCTCCCCGCTTCCTTTCTTCCTTTGTTTTATATTTTTGAGACAGGGTCTAACTCTGTTACCCAGGCTGGAGTGCAGTGGCAGATCGTAGCTCCCTGTTATAGCCTTGAACTCCTGGGTTCAAGAGATCCTTCTGCCTTAGCCTCCCAAGTATCTAAGACTACAGGTTTGCACCACCATATCCGGCTAATTCATCCATTTATTTATTTTGTTTGAGACAGTCTTACTCTGTCGCACCAGGTATAGTACAATGGTGTCATCTTAGTTCACTGCAGCCTCAAACTCCTGGGCTCAAGTGATCCTCCGGCCTCAGTCTCCTGAGAAGCTGGGGCTACAGGCATGCGCCAGGACACCCGGCTAATTTTTATATTTCCAGTAGAGACTGGGGTCTTGCTCTTTTTCAATCTCGTCTTGAAATCCTGAGCTCAAGCAATCCTCCTGCCTCAACCTCCCAGAGTGCTGGGATTACAGGTGTGAGCCACCGCGCCTGGCCTCTGGCTATTTTTTTTATTTTTTATAGAGACAGGGTCTTGCCATGTTGCCCAGGCTGGTTTGGAATTCCTGGCTTTAAGCAGTCCTCCTGCCTCACCCTCCCACAATGCTGGGATTATGAGCATGAGCCACTGCATCTGGCCAAGAATCTTTTCTAATATAGCAGAGTTTAATTAGATTTTATTCAGTTCTTGATCTATTTATTTTGAGGGAAGGTGTATTCTTTCTTAGCCACCCTTCTCATGACATTCTCTGTAGCATATGGGCACCCCAGATATCTCCTTCCTGATAAATAAACCAACTCTTTGCCTGCTCACTTTGTTGACGTCTCATGGCAGTTACACACCAGTGACAAGTTTGGACTTGTCACATGAAAGGCTTTGTAGCCAGAAGACCAATAGGTACCAGTTCCTGTTTTATATGAAATCCCAAATCTTCTCAGTCCTGATAAATACTATGGGGATTAAGCAGATTTCCATTTACTTGTTATCTTTGTTGATTAAAAAATAAAATATCTCACAAAGTCAGATTTATTTTTAAGGTCAGGATTTGAAATGGAAAGTATGTCATGGTGGGACAGTCCTGGAATTTAAATTAGATTCTGATCTTTAGGGACATTTCAACTTTTCGTTGGAAGTTACAATGCTTCTGTTTTTTTGCCTGCTGCGGCAAGTACACGCCAGTGACAAGTTAGGCTTGTTGGCGTGATGGTCTTTGTAGCTTGAAACTGGTAGGTGCTACTTCCTGTTTTACATGTGAAGAACTGAGTATATTTTAATATTAAACCTCTATCGTAGAACCAACCATGCTAGTTTGGTTATATCAGTGCAGAATTTATTATCATTTGCCTTTCTGGCAACAGGAAAATATTTTTTCCTCTTTAATTCATTTAAGTTGATTTGTTGAATGTTTCCATCTATACAAAAATAATTGCTTTTCCTGATATGCCAAGGTAAGTGGTAACTTTCTTTGGAGGAAAGGAGCGAAAAAAACCTGAAACAAAGCTGTGTGTGTGTGTGTGTGTGTGTGTGTGTGTGT